TGCAGAGGAATGGGTTTTAAAGGATTTTAACAATTTGTGTTATAGATAACGTCAGCATCATCACAGGGATTTCGCAGAAGCTTACAGGTATTTAACTATGGTATTTAACAAGGCTCAGGAGTGATGTCTTGTGACAGGTAAACTAAGCTTTGGGCGATGGTTAAGTCTTAACAATACCACTGCCCACTTGTGTTTGATTGTGCTTATTGTGAAGAACTTAATGATGACAGACAATCCCATTCAGACGCATGGAACAAGATTTAGTGGAGTGATAGCACATTGTATGTGAAAGTTACATGTGGACGGAAAACCTGTTGAACATGGAGCGACAGGGTTTAAGTACAGTGAGTCAAAAAGATTGTGATCCTTCTAAAAGAAAAAAACACCATACAATAAGAATTATATGGAAATGGCTTGGGTTTTGAATAGGGCTTTACTTACTGTAATACTGTTATCCTGTGTATAAAAAGAAGCTGTTATCAGATATTTTCAGGACCAAAGATAAACTGCAAAAAATAAATGCTCTTCCCCGATATTAGATTGGATTCCAATTAGATTCTTTTCTTCTTCTGAGAAAACCAAGGTAAAGAAAGTTCAAAGGAAAACCGTCATTTGGTAAATGTTTCTTCATTTGAGACATTGCAGCACAAAATTAATTACAGCTTTGCAATGAACTTGACTAACTGTTAGAAGCATTGTACTTATTGTCCATTTAATTATGACTGTACATCCACTGATGAAATGGCTACTTTTATACCACTCTGTTGTAATAGGAGCATAGGACACCATCCCCTTCCTGATATGAGGCAACATCTTCAGGTTCCCAGTAGATTCTGGCATAAAGGCATTAATCTCACCATTTACTTATCTAGTTGTTATTGGTCTTGGACCAGTGGGTCCTCATTTATTGAGAACCATTGTCTTACTTCTTCTCGACCACATTCATTCCTTTGAGAAGCAAGCCCCCTCTCACTTCACCTCAATTAATGTAAGTCTCTGGGAGCTCGCTGGAGTGCTGATTGGAATGAAGAGCTGCATTCAGACTGTATGCCTGTAAGGGAATGATAACACCAGATCATTAACAAAACAGAGCAGCAAATGTTTACCTGTGGATGGCATTCTTCATCTTAATGTGTCCCTGCCTTTACTTGTTTCCTTGCATATTTGCTGCTGAAACCATGTGCAATAAATGTCGAAGCTGCTCTGTCATGAAAAAACAAAACAAAAACATGGCCACACATTTTGACTGAATGACTTTAAAAGCTTTAGTATCTCTCTAATGAATCTTGAAAAATAATCAGATTTATTATGACTGTGTAACCAAGAGCGGTATAATTCTGTAGGGAGTTTGACCTTGTGTAGAATAGTGAAGGGATTCATTAGGAAGTTGTCTGTCTGTTGAAGTTGCAGTCATGGAGCTTTACCAACAAGGGATTATGATTTGATCATTTTCCTGATTGGGTTTCAGTGTCAGTTGTAATAGAGTTGGACATAATAGCTTCTCATTGGCTAATATCTAATATGTGATGTGCCACATGACAGAGGGTGACATATGGAATTGGGCTTGTGAGAAGGCCACTCCTTCTTCTTAGGTGTCTTAGCATGACATACGAAGCCCCACACCACTCCATCTCACAGCACTCAGCACTGACTTGATCAATGTGGGTTGAGGAGTAAGAATGATTAAGTATGGCTGGAGGCAACGAGAAGCACAGTTGGCTCTGATGCAGGTCTCTGATCTCGGACATGCCATCATATCTGCCTGTATTCAAATCACTTTGTTTCACTTGATTACAGATGGCATCATCAAATCCCAGACTGGACTTTAACCTCAGATGGGATGAAATGTAATTGAGTATAGTAAATCCAACCCATAAATCCCCTTTTTTGATAAGTCTGACGTCCAGTTGTCTAATGGTACAGTGGCAAAACTTTGTTAGTGGTGACCACAGTGGTAGTAACACATGACCCCATAATTAACTGTCAACAGTAATGTCACAGATTTGTTTTCCCTTTTCACTACAGTCTCAATCTGTCACATGCATTGGGCTCCATGAAATCTGCTGAAGCAGAAAAGGGAGCCGTTTCCTTCTTCACTTCTGTGAATCAGGAAAAAGCACCATGTGACCAGTTAGCAATTAACTTTAAAGGCAAATTTAGAGCAGTAGATGAATTATCGGCATAGCACTGACAAAATTCTATGTGTTGTGACATCAGCCATCACACATAGACAAGAGTCCCCCCAGAGACATGTCTTGATGAGTGTGAATCAGATGTGAAGGGTTTTGTTTCCATGTTTTTTTTTCTTGCACATTTAATCTTGTCGGTGACTTACAATCCAGCTCCATGTGCTTGAATATTGGTTGCTGGAATATTTGTCTTTAAAGTGATGATTTAATTATTCATTAAAACCTATATCATTACTCTTTCCATCTGTCTGTTACTACTCAACCCCTCAATTCAACTAATATTTCAGAATCATTATCTACAAATCATAGCATAAATGATGCTCCAATGTTCAATTCACTCTACAACGTACACAATGACATTAATATTCTTTGTATATAACTAGTTATTCTAAAATGATAAAATCAATTGTTAATTGCATTGTTAGTGGAAGGGGTGGATGCATACTAACACATGGCATTGAAATTAAATATGGTTTGTTTTTTCTCTTAAACCCTCTCTCTGTAGCCAATTCCCTTGGTAGTTTATGGTGTATATTTTATCGCAAAAGATTGCATGAGCCAAATGTCAGCCACAGCACATACATCACACTTGCCACCATCCGTCTTTGATTGCATCCTCCTGTTACCGCGGCCCCACCCCCTACTGTTTTTTTAAACTCACACAGCAAAATCAGGCTGGCAGTAGGTAGAAGGAGTAAGGGTGAAAAAAAGACTCTATAGTATCAGAACAAACCACAGATGTGCTCAGCATGTGTGTCTGTGACACCGCATGAATTGGATTACCGTCTGATAAATGCTGTTACATCCACTTGAAGCTGCACCCCTTTCACTTCATATCAGGGTGATAGTATTGGCTGATTGATAGTCTGCAAGGTGTGCAGTGGAAATGGTGTTGAGCATGCAGGCACAATGAGGATGCAGTGCAAGATGTATGTAGATTACTAGTATTATTTGTCCTTTGATTTTCTAGCTAGGATCAGTACTTCACTCTTCTTATCACAAATAGGTCTGATATAATGTTGTGCATTCACAGCAGCTACTTGCATATGAAATAGCATTTGAAGCTCTGTGCACAAAAATGATCAATGCAGAATTCAAAACTGTCAGCATTCTCAATTATGCAAGCGCATACTCTATTACTCGTAAACGCCTACTTCTATTCATCTTGAGTCTGTGGTATGAATATTGCAATAGGATTCAGACTCTAGTCAATCTGTATAGCACACACCACCCTCTGTCCTTAGATGATCAATGCGGATAAGGAAAGACCACCCCCCCCAAAAAAACTTTTAACAGTAAAAAAATTTAAGCAACCTCAGGAAGAGCCCAGGTCACCCAGAATGGACAGACATGCAATATATGTTGTGTGTACTGAATAGATTCACAACAGAAAGTCATACATGACAATATACAATTATGATGACAAAATGTAGATTGGAAAACAAGTGAAGAGGATGGATCCAGGAGGACAACTGAGCAGAATCAGGCGTCACCCAATAAATAGGATCTGAGGCATACCACCACTGTTCTGTTGAATCTAATTGTGTCACATGAGAATGAAATTATTTCAGCATGTATCACTGTTGAAATAACCACCTGGCAGGAAAGAGACACAATGGCCAAAGTGTCTTAATACAAGTTTATACTGCTGTCAGTTCATACTGCTGTCCTCCACTTCCACCACATGTGATTTGAAACTGCTGAATTTAGCACAGAACTGCATATTTAAATGTCAGCCCATAGCTCAGGGACATCAGACCATGCTGTACAACCTCATATTTTTTCTCCTTTTATGGTTTGATCATTTTCCTTATTGGGTTTCAGTGTGAGTCCTAATAGAGTTGGACATAATAGCATCTCATTGACTGATATCCAATATGCGATAGCCACATCAAAGAGGGTAACAGACGGAATTGAGCTTGTGATAAGGCCACTCCTTCTTCTTAGGTGTCTTAGTGTGCCATACAAAGGCCCACTCCACTACCTCTCACAGCGCTCGGCACTGACTTGATCAATGTGGATTGAGGAGTAAGAATGATTAAGTATGGCTGGAGGCAACAACGAGCACAGCTGGCTCTGATGCAGGTCTCTGATCTCAGGATACCATCTTATCTGCCTGTTTTCAAATCACTTGTTTCTTTTCCTGATTACAGATGGCATCATCAAACCCCAATCTGAATTTTAACCTCAGAGGGAATATAATGAAATTAAGTAAAGTAAATCTAACCCATAAAGCCCCTTATTTGACGAGTCTGATCTAGTTGTCTAATCAAAGTCAGTGGCAAAAAGTTATTAGAGGTGAATACAATGGGAGTAACATGCCACCCTATAATTAACTATTATTAATGTCTGAGCTGGTGATTTTGTTCTACCATCTGCATTGAATTTCCACAACGTCAAAACTGATTTTGCGAAATGTTGGGTAGTTGAAGGTTGTGGGTTTGAACACCGGTCGTCCCGGTCTTTCTGTGTGGAGTTTGCATGTTCTCCCCGTGTCTGTGTGGGTTCTCTCCGGGGGCTCCGGCTTCCTCCCACCGTCCAAATACATGCGGACTAGATTAATTGGTGTTAAATTGTCCTTAGGTGTGCGTGTGCATGGTTGTTTGATGTGTGGCCCTGCGATGGACTGGCGACCTGTCCAGGGTGTACCTCGCCCGATGTCAGCTGGGATTGGCTCCAGCCCCCCTGCGACCCTGTACGCAGGATAAGCAGTTGATGATGGATGTATGGGTAGTTGAAATCACCAGTGTGATAGTCGTGTGAATTTAATTTTCTAATTAAATGTTTTGCTTCATCTCTGTGTTACCCCAGGTAACCGATAAGATGGCGGCTGGGGAAGCGACTGGGCACAGCTACCTGGTGGCTTGCTGGCAGCCCATTCTGATTCTGATGCTGGGCACCGTGCTTTCTGGCTCCACCACAGGCTGTCCATCCCGCTGTGAGTGCAATGTTCAAGAGCGCTCTGTGATGTGCCACCGCAAAAAGCTCATGACAGTTCCTGAGGGCATTCCTGCAGAAACAAGACTGCTGGACCTCAGCAAGAACCGTATTAGAACCATCAACCCAGATGAGTTTGCCATCTTTCCAAACCTCGAACACCTGGAGCTCAGTGAAAACACGATCTCCACTATTGAACCTGGAGCATTCAACAACCTTTATGGCTTGCGAACATTGGGGCTGCGTAGCAACAAGCTTAAGCTGATCCAGCTTGGTGTCTTCACAGGCCTGAGTAATCTCACACAACTGGACATAAGTGAGAACAAGATTGTCATCCTGTTGGACTACATGTTCCAAGATTTGTACAACCTCCGGTCTTTAGAAGTGGGCGATAACGACCTGGTTTTCATCTCCCACCGAGCTTTTCATGGCCTAAGTAGCCTTGAGCACCTGAGTCTTGAAAAGTGTAACTTGTCCTCTGTGCCAACAGAGGCTTTCACCCATCTCCACAGTTTGATCACTCTCAGGCTGCGTCACCTCAATATCAACGTCATACGGGATTACTCTTTCAAACGGCTCTATCGGCTGAAAGTGTTGGAAATAGCCAATTGGCCATATTTGGATACGATGACCCCAAATTGCTTGTATGGATTAAATCTCACCTCCTTGACCATTGCAAATGCCAACCTGACGACGATTCCTTATGTAGCCCTGCGGCACTTAGTTTATTTGCGCTTTCTTAATCTTTCATATAACCCTATCCATACCATTGAGGGGAATAAGCTCCACGATCTTCTGCGTCTTCAGGAATTTCATCTGGTTGGAGGTAGACTGGCAATGATTGAGCCCTACTCTTTCCGTGGTCTAAACTACCTGAAGATTCTAAATGTGTCTGGAAACTCTCTTAGCACTTTGGAGGAGTCTGCTTTCCATTCAGTTGGCAACCTGGAAACCCTTGCCTTGTATGATAATCCCCTTGCCTGTGACTGCCGACTGTTATGGGTTTTCCGACGACGCTGGAGACTGAACTTCAACAGGCAGCAGCCTACCTGTGCGTCCCCTGAGTTTGTCCAAGGCAAAGAATTTAAAGACTTTCCGGATGTTCTGCAGCCTAACTACTTCACATGTCGCAAGTCTAGGATTAGGGATCGCAAACCCCAGCAGAAATTTGTTGATGAGGGAGCCATCGTTCATTTTGCCTGCCAGGCAGATGGAGATCCTGCACCAGTGATAATGTGGCTATCCCCACAGAAAAAGTTTATCACCACCAAGACAATTGGAAGGCTCTCGGTGTTGCCAGACGGTAACCTTGAGGTGCGTTATGCCCAGATTCAAGACAATGGTACATATGTGTGTATAGCTAGCAATGCAGGTGGAAATGACACCTCTCTTGCTCACCTGCACATTCATAGCTACTCGCCTGACTGGCCACACCAGCCCAACAAGACATTTGCGTTCATCTCCAATCAGCCCACAGAAACTGGTGCTAACGGTACAAGAGCCAATGTCCCATTCCCCTTTGATATAAAGACGTTGATCATTGCGACCACAATGGGCTTCATCTCTTTTCTTGGCGTCGTCTTGTTTTGTCTGGTACTGCTCTTCCTTTGGAGCAGAGGTAAAGGCAACACTAAGCACAACATTGAGATTGAGTATGTGCCACGGAAATCGGACGCTGGCATGAGCAGCAGCACAGTGGATGCTCCTCGCAAGTTTAACATGAAAATGATTTAACGGACCTGTGGAATTCATTAATTTTGAATTTCAAAGCAAGACAAATGGAAAAGAAAACATTCTCTTTCCTCTCTTACAAACCTGTGGATCCTGGTCTGTTAACATAGAGTAATATGTTGTTTTTCCTGATTGAAGCACTAGCGAGGAGGACAATTTCTGACTTTCATAAGTGAGAGGGAATGAAAGCACACCCGGTGCCATGGGGCATTGGTGGTTTCTATGAGGCCTGTGGAGGCATTAATTGAAAGTCCGATTTGTCATAAGCAGTTCATATTCCTGTGGATTTATACTGGAAAAAATATATCAGAAAAGAAAAACATTTCAAACAGCCAGAATGCGATGGGCAGATCATATTTTGGCCATTGCTGTTTTTTGTCTGTATTTTTTCTTTAGTGTTTTTATTTTAAAGGTTAGTTGTCAAGTTATGAATGAGATGTGTATGGGTTGATGAGCACATTTCTACAACGTTGACGCATTTCAAGTACATCATTCTGATACATCAGTGTTACAATTGTGAATGCTATGTGCTACATATAGTCTTTTTAATTTCCTACAGTGATTATTGTTCTGTAATTCATCAAATGTAAATCTGTGTCACAATACCTGATAAAAACTGTTGAAAAACTATGCCCCAGCAATTAGCAGAAATAAATAACATAGTATGGCACAAATGTATTATGGGAAATTCTAAATTCTTAGTGTGCTATGTAAAAGTTACTTTGAATGTCACAGCAGCTAATAAAGTAAGTACAATGAATGGTACTGTAAAACAGTTTACAATGGCCATTATGTGACCTGAAAAACTAAGTAGTATAAGTTCTCTGAAAATATGTAGATTCATATATAGAGATGCATCAGTGCACAGTTTACTATTGATACCAATTTTCAGTGATGCACTGTAACAATCAGCCAAAATCCATGTAAGAATAATTGCATTTTCATAAAGACTAATATAACAATATTTAGTGTTGAAAAGTAGCAGAAAATCCTGTTTTAAAATGTGGCTTCTAATATAGGATTTTACCATTGGGGAAATGCTCTCATAAAGCATTTTCAGCCCAGTATATATTATTAGTATCAGTGTCACTCAACCCTAATTTTCAGATGTAACCCAGACAGTGTACACACATGGATTGAGGGCATGATACAGAAGAAAATCTGAGATGTTGTTGATATGATGCTCTGTACCAACAATAGATGCATCCTACTATTCTAAGGTTTGTCATCAAACAGAATGGTTGGTAGTGGTACTTTGATACTATAAGAGCTAATCCTTGACTTTTTAAATTGCATTTCAAAAAATATTATGTAATGGTATTATTATGTGCTCAACATGAATGCGAGGAAGAAATTTGTGGTGCTCACGTTTTTGGATACAATGTGCTCCTCAAGCTGTAGAAAATTTCTTTCATTGTTGTTTATTTTTCTTGATTGTTTTATAAAATCAATGACTTATTAATGCAGATGCTCCCCCCATTAAAGCCATGGAAATATTACCTTCCAGGATCATTTACACGTTTGCTATTCCCCAGAAATGTTTGTCAGGGGAAAAAGAACTGTGCATATTATACTCCCAGTTGGTCCTGCATATAAAATCTGAGGACACAGCCTTATCTTTTCAAGTACACACTGTGGACAGCTGGGCTTTGCAAACGTGTGTGAGGATAAAGGCTAAGTTGTTTATGATGGATGACATTACAGACAACGACACATCAGTGGGCTGGAAGTATGGACTGAATATGCAGATGGTTGGAGTGACAGATGGTTTAACCCATGAGCAATCTGAAGCAGCTTTGGTGTAATCCGTTTTGCATAAAGGAAAAAAAAATCACTGGATATGGCTCCTGGTTCTCCCTCTTGCTGATTATGAATGCTCCCTTCGTTCAAAGTGTGGCTACTGTACTTAGCCTTTTTTGGTCCCGAGTGATCCCGGGATTCTGTTTTTTGTTTCAGTTATTCCTTTTTTATTTTGACCCTGGACTACATTGACCATGTAGTCCAAGCCAACTTTTTACAAAAAAAAAGATAATAAAAAAGAATCTATGGAAAATAAATTCAAATTGTTCTGTGCAATAAAGGTAATATGCAGATTTTTTTTTTTTAATTAACACATTTTGTTGATGTTGAATTGTTGAGAATATGGTATGTTGTATTAAACAATCTATGGACTTTTTTAAACACATGGTGGTCCTATCTTGATTTTAAAGGTAAGGTTAGTAAGGACATGGCTGTCTTATAGCCAATAATGGCAGCTGTTTATGTCTGGGGTTTAGATAATGCTGGTTGGTACCAATGAAACAATGATAACTTACCTGATTTCTGGCTGTGAAAACTCTTTCACTCGTCACCATTTATGAACATGAAATATAATACAATACCCCTTTAGTCTTTGCTACCAAAGCACAAGCTAACATCTAGCTGAACATTTGGGTGTATTTTTTGTGTAACAGTGACCAAATCAACAATGTAATGTTTGATTTTTATGATTGAATACCTCATTAAATGATGATGCACACTGCAAGGTAATTTAATATAACATGTTTCAGCACTAATTATTTGTTTACAGGGGTATTGCTGGTTCATTTGCTCACTTGCCTGGCCTCTAAATATCAATTAACCACCATTAGTAAAGGAGTACAGACATTATGATATGTATATGGAATATTATTAATTTACACTGCATATTTGTAATCTTAAATAGACAATATTGGTAACGTAATTAGTAAGTGGACTTCAAATTGAAAGAACAGTTAGTAGCTGTTTAACACTGAATAACAGTTTTATTCTGGGATGTCTCTCGGCGAAACATGGACAAATTAGGTTACCATTTGAAGGTTATGGGAAGTGACCAGGGATCTGACTAGGACAGCCTAGTTTGATAAAACATGGTGTTGCTCTGCATTAAGTTTGGATCTCCGTCCCTTTTCTTTTTATTCCACATCCATGCTTCCTTGGTTAGGACTCCATGGGGACTTTTGACGTTCTTTCTTTCTTCAAGCTGTATCAAAGCATGCTCATTTATCTTCTGACTTGAAAACAGACAGGCAGAATAGCAGAGGTGAGAAGCTATTCTTGAGGCATCAGAGCCCTGGGGAGTAATGGAGACATCCATTGTTTTCATTCCTCAGATATTAGATCTTTGCTTAAAATTCTAGGTCAGGAACAGGCTGATGGATTCTGACACCATGCGACAAGTCGCCTCTCCTCAACTGAGCATGAAAATACAGACACACCTCTGGGTGTTCCTTGCACTCATCCAAATCAATGTGCTTAATGACATCTGGGAAACAATGTATGTAAGCAAAAGTGTGAATTTGCTGTTGGCAGTGCCTCCGTCACAAAATAGAATTTTCAGATGCCTAAAATAAAAAGCAAGTCATTTGAGATTTTTTTTTGTACTGAGGATGTAGAATCTAAACTCATGGCTGTTTCTCATATATCTCATATCCATATCAAAGGGTTTGATAGGGATACGATGTATCAATTTGAGTATTTTTTAAGTATGTTTCCAATATATCTACTGTGTGTTAATGCACCTATTGTAGTCACTGTCATTCAAACCCTACATATTCCCGGTCAATTTACAAACTAATCCCTATAGTTAACTAATGGAACATGCACAAGATGACTTAGAATCAAGAGTACTTTTAATTGTATTTGAAATACCCTACATCTAAATGAAAGGGCTCTTAATCAAACTAGACAACTGCATCAAACAGCACATTGTATGTGTTATAATGAATGCTAGTACTACCTGTTTGAATGCCTTTGACAAGCAGAATATAAACTTGCTACTGGCAACCCTATAGCTAGCAGCCTATAATCTGATTCATCCATAAACAGTAAATAAGTTATTGACAGAATAGTCAACAGTTAAAATTTTTTAAACTTTAAATACTGGGGGTTAAAATAACGAATTATCATAACATTTCTCTATCCTGTGCTTATTTGATACCTGCTCAGTGTACCACTAAAGATAAATATTGACAGATCATATTCATTGCAAAGCTATCAGATCCTAATGGTGGTTTTAAATAGGACCATACCAATGCCCACACAAGTCATAATCAATCTGAAACCAGCTTGTAAAATAGGTTGCAGTAATGTAAAGTACACACAATTAGTAGTTATAGGGCAAAAACATACCAAACTACTAGCATGGTCAATTAATTTGTGTTTTTTTTAATGGTAGGCTCACTGGGAAGAGTAACCAGCATGTTCAATATTTCAAAAACAATGTAGACATGACAGGACTAGAATCAATTCTTAGACAAACGAGGATCGAGGATCTAGGCCATTTCCAATTACAGACAATATAAGTAATGTTATAGGTGGAACATGATGTACCATATTAATGTATGTTTTTTTAAGCATGGAAATGTCTGCAATGCTAATGTAAAAAACTGTGAAGATTTGACAGGATGAATTCCACATAGAGGGATAGAACTTATGCTCATCTTAGAGTTGTGTGGTTGTTTATTGTTTATTGCTTATTGCTTCACTGTTGTAAAACTGCATCTGCTACATTTTCACGCATCATTGGGGCATATGGGATATAGCAGAAAACAACAAATTTCAAAAAGCACATGATGTGACGTCAGATTCCCCAGAAATCGGCATTTCCCAGAAAGTCACACGTGACAGCTGTATTATTGTTTTGTTTTAAATGGTAAACAGTGTTTGTTATTGTCATGTTATTGAACATGGAATATCCCCAACCACAGCAATGCACTGTTTTTACTATTTCCATGCATATGGATATGATTTAAAACAAACATCATGCTCAGTATTTCAGCTTTAATATGAACATAACAGACCATGACTACATCCTACTTTTGACAAAACCCCAAGGCTGAGCGGTGCACAGCTCTTCTAAGGAGACTGGACACACAACACAAAGGAGGAGTGCCTTGTTTCAGTAAAAGCCAAAATCAAAGCAGCAACATTCTTTGTTCAGAAGTGAGTAGCAATGTGTCAGTTTCTGGAGGCTGTTGACTGAATTTCTCTCTTCAGGATATTTGGGAAACTGGACATGACAGTTTATTTTGTTACTGACTTCCACTGACTGAATGATAAAGTTAGGAGGCTACCATCCAAGACAAACACGGGCATGTCTGCTTTATATCATTGTTAGCTGGGACACTACTTGACTGATAAGAGGCCCAAATCCCATATTAACGTGTGCTGCAGATCCATAGGTACATTTATTGAATGATTGCCAGGTGAAAATGACCATCTGTTTACTACAGGATCCTCACTGGTACAGCTGATATTAGGATTCTACAGTAAACAACCCAAAAATAAATGTTTTAACATATGCAAACTAATGAATGTGAAAATTGCTTACTACTTTAGTGGATCGCTAAATATGCATATCACTTCCCAGAAAAACTCCCAATACATTTTCTCAATATATCAACACAAATTACCATGTGATATGTGCAAAAGATGTCCTGATGGTGAGTTGTCTATATTTGTGACATAATATTCAGAATATTCATATTTATTTAATATGCTTTAAGTTGAATAGTCGGTGTGACTTTGATCCTTCTGGGTTCAGGGGTTTATGTCTGGTGTGGTTCCCATGAGGGGACTTAGCTGTTGCTTTGATGTTGAGCAGACAGTTTTGCATAGTCAATTAACACTTCTCTGAGCCCTGCTGCTAAAAAAAAAAGCCACCTGACTCCCCCCAGTTACTCACTTTTGACTGCTTTGCTATTGTTTTACTGTCTTGGCTGGCTCACGACTATTGAGCATGCACCAGGATGGCATCCAAAAAGGCGCTCTGTTGAGGCCCATTTTTGTCTGGGCCATATGCCACAGCCCATTTCTCTGTAGGCAACTCAATCTACCCTCCTTATTTATTTAATAACCCCATGAAAGAGTCATGAGTTCCCAATTCGAAAAATGTGACAGCCAAAAGACTGCATCTGTCTGCCATTAAAACCATCGTTTTGGCAGCCTGCTCAAATGGACTCACTGCTGGCAAAAGTCTATACTGAACGTATGATTTGTGCTGACTTTAGTGGACAGCAGAATGTTCGCAAGCAGATGTGTAACCAAGGTGATCTAAGCAATTATTAGCAAGGTAAATAGGTGAGGAGGTAAGGGGCCAATTCATCCTATAATTTTGTTCTATTTCCAATGCCCCTGTGTAAGGCCTAAATATGCCACTGTGAAATAATTGAGAGCTCAATTGTTGTTTCACCTTGAAGTGGCTCACCAGTCTGCAAATAATATTGGCTTCAGCCTACTTGCCTCAAGGACAGTGTGCTGCTGAAATTTGATGGGACAGCGGAGATGCCATTGCGAGATGGACGATGTGATCTGATGAAAACAGCACAGCCAGGCTGCTGCTCGCATTTGTCAGCATTGTTCCAAGATACCTGCACGTGAGTATAGGTTTCATTTTTCATTATGTTCTCCATGCCTTCTAATATTGTGTTTTTGTTTGTCTGGGTAGTTTTCCAGACATCCTACCATCATGCTATCTCAGTGATGTTAATGGTTTATCATACTGTATATAGAATAAAACAACAGAAGATAGGATTTGTAGAAGAAAATTTTCAGACAGATGGTATTATTTCTCATAATTTTCCGAAAATTTTTTCCTATATGATCTGAATAGTTGTTAATGTGATTGTGATTTATGTAAAATTTGATCTTGAAATCTTGAATTATATAAAATGAATTAATGTGTGTTGCTTTTACAGCTATTTTGTGTTTAGATTAAAAAGGGACAGTCCAGCTTTTTACTATTGTACTGAATATGTAGCTTTCTTTACTATTGGGATCCTGACTTTTAGCTCCGAAAAAAACCCCCAAAAAAACCTGTATCCTACACATCCCATAATGCAGCTTAATATGACTTCTTGCTACACCCTCCCTGCCTGGTTCAAACTCCATGCCCCAGTTTGCAACGCAGGGTTCCTGTGAAATAAAGTACAGTCTCCAAAGCCAGGCCTTGATACCTGGCTCATTTTTATTTTATTTGAGAATCGAAATGGTACTCTACCTCCTGAGGTACAGCGGGTTGCCCGTTAATCGGAAGGTCGGCGGTTCAATCACCAGCTCCTCCAGGCTGCATGTCGCAGTGTCCTTGGGCAAGATACTGAACCCCGAATTGCCCCTATTCCGCCAGTGTATGAATGTGTGTGAATGTTAGTTTCTGTTTGAGC